AATACATACACTTTAAATGTACTAAAGGTTTGGGATAATTTACACAAAAGTATGAAATGGACTTTTAATTCAACACTGATTCCACTAAAAAACACAGAGTTTTTCCCCCAGGCAGAGAAGAAATAGGTGGGAGGGTGGTTTAAAAAAGACAGGGTGCAATTGAGAGATATTCTGGTGGGAGATGAAATAGGATCATTTGGTGATTTGAAGAAAAAAGAGGGTGAGATCTTCACTAAACTAGATGAATTGCGGTATTTTCAATTGAGGTGTTTTGTCGGAAGTTTGCCAAAGCCTTTAAGGACAAAAGAAAAATTGGAATCTGTTCGAAAAGGTATTGGGAACACAAGGTGATGGGAAACACGGGATCACTAAAGTTTACAAAATACTCACTGAATTAGACACAAACACAAAGCCAACATATATAACAAAATGGAAAATGGATATGGGAGTTGTGATAGATGAGGAAAAGCAGAGGAGAATGTATAGATTAATTCACGAGAACGTCTCTATGAGAGAGGTAGAGATGAACTATAAGTGTTTGACGAGATGGCACATCACACCAAATGTTGAAAATAAGATATGTGGGGAGAGTTCACCACTGTGTTGGAGGGGATGTGGAGAGGTAGGCACTACATACCATATATGGTGGGGATGCCCTAAAATCCAGTTATTCTGGAAAACAGTAATCCACTTGATAGGAAAATTGACAGAAATAGATATAGAACTAGACCCAGAAGTATGTATTTTGCATAACATGGATATAACTGTAAATAAATACAAAAAATCAGGGATATGGAAACTATATTAATGCTGCAAAAGCTCTGATACCCAAGTTCTGGCGTCAAACAGAGGTACCGAAGGAAGAGGACTGGATTGAAAGAGTTGAGCAGATCAAAAAGATGGAAAGGTTGAGTCATATCCAAGAAGATAGGTTGGAGGCCTATTATGGGAAATGGGAGAACTGGGAAAAAGCTAGATTATACAGGAAGTATAGGAAAGAATAAAAGATAACAACAGAAAAACTTCACTTGCTGATGTAAGAAGATGCAGAGAAAAGGTAGGATAGGCAGAGGGGACTTGGGGTGGGGGGCGGTGTGTTGGGAGGGAAATGTTGTATAGAGTAAATAAAGTAGAAATGTTGGATAATATAATTTTATAGAATATATTTCGTTATATATATATATATACCTACAATGTGTTGATGAAATGTATTTAAAAATGGAAAAATGAATAAATATTTAAATTATAAAAAAAATCTGGACTATTAACCCATAGTGTGGCTCTTTAATCTCAGATTCAAATAGTCGCATTATCCTAAATCCTTTGGGGAGTAGAATCCAGACACTGCTTAACCCCTTCATGCCTAAGGGTAAAACAAATCTAAATGCCTAGGCACAATTCTGCAACGTTGGCATGTGATAGTAAAACCGTACATATCATCACAACTACTTTGTACATCCAGGTGGATTATATCTTGATTTTTTCAGGACAAATTGGGCTTTCATTTGGTGGTAAATGGTCATGGATAGCTCCTAATGTTTTTTTATTAGCAAAGGAAAACTGGCCCAAAATAGTAAAAAAAAAAAAAAAATCGTTTTTTTTTTTTTTTTATTTAGCTGTGTTTCTTCTTACGACCATAACCTACCTCCATAGAACAACCCAAAATAAATTCTCCAGCTCTTGACGATCGCAGCGATACCATGTATGTGTATGTTATTTGTTGTTTGTACCCGTAATACAGCCCAGAAACAATAGTGTGCATTTTGTTTTTGTCTTTGTTTTTTTACCTAAAACACACTGACATTAACACTAACTGACACCAATTTTTTTTAAATCCTGACCTTTGACCCTGACCCAAACACTAACCCTGGCACTGAACTAGATCAAACCTTGATCTAGGTATTTTTCTATTTTAACCATTTGAATATCGGGCAATGTTACCCCTTCCTGCCCAGGCCATTTTTCAGGTTTCAGCGCTCTCACACTTTGAATGACAATTGCGCGGTCATACAACATTGTACCCAAACTAAAATTTTATCATTTTCTTCACACAACTAGAGCTTTCTTTTGGTGGTATTTAATCACCGCCGGGGTTTTTATTTTTTGCTAAATTAACTAAAAAAGACCAAAAATTTTGAAAAAAACCCCACGTTTTTCTTTGTTTCTGTTATAAACGTTTACAAATAAATAATTGTTCTTCATAAATTTAGGCCGAGATGTATTCTGCTACATGTCTTTGGTGAAAATAACCCAAATTAGGAGGGATTTTTTAGTTTGTAGGAAAGTTATAGAGTTCACAAACTCTGGGATAGATCTGAATATTGATCAATCCTGAAGTACTGACAGCCAATCTAATTTCTTGAGGTCCAAGAATGTCAGAACAGTACAGATATCCCCCAAATGACCCCTTTTTGCAGAGTAGACAGTCCGACGTACGTCATAAGAGGCATGGCGAGTTTTTTGAAGTTGTATTTTTTTTGTCATAATTTTTCGGAAAATTTAAAAATTTTAAAAATTATTTTCACTATTTTTTTTTTTTTTACATACTGTCACCAGTGCAGTACAGCGTCATCATATAACTGGCATGGCGGTGAACAGGGACACTGACTGGTGACAGTATGAAAAAAAAAAAATATATATATATATATATATATATATTTATTTTATTTATTATTTTGAATTTTTTATTACATTTTTTTTAAGATTTTTTTTTCATATTTTACTATGACCAAAGTAGTACAATGTTACCATAGTAAGGGGAAGTGATCAGTATTTTTTTTTTTTTTGTACACAATTTGCTTATAGCAAAGAATTACTTTGCTATAAGCAAGCATTTATCTGAATGAAATCGATTCATTCAGGTTTTTTTTTTTGTTTTTTTTGTGCTTAGCTGTGATTTGGTTTGGTCACAGCTAATCACATGACATGTACATGTGATTAGCTGTGACCATTCACAGCTAGACAGTAGTATACAATGGATGGCATGAATGAAGCCATCCATTGTATACAACTGTCATGTGACCTGCTGTGATTGGTCACAGCAGGTCACATGGTACCAGCAACGGGGGCCGGTACTCAGATCTGTCATCGGCCGTGTCCGAGGTACACGGCCGGTGACAGATCGCGTCTGCATTAGCGCAAACTGCGCATGTGCGGGTGCACACCAAATGGCGTGCACCCGGAATACCGAAGCACTTTTGAAGCCGCCAAACGGCCATTGGCCGGGCGGCTAATGGTTAATATTTATCTTTTTTTTTTTTTTTTTTTACTACAAACATTTTTTTTTATCTCTCTATGTCAGGAGTTAGAGAGATACAATGTATCTCTCCTCTCCATTCATAGAGAGAGAAAAAACAAGACGGCCTGGCTGCACAGTGACTGATCACCGTGATAGCCGATCAGAGGCTATCACAGCGATCACGCTACCCGGAATCGGGAGTCCGGGGTCCCGATCGTTAGAACGGGACCCGGGGCGCTCAGTGACACCGCGGTCTCTGTGCTGGGAGCGCGCCGAACTCCCAGCACAAAGACAGGTACGCAAATATGCGGCCCCAGTTCTGTGAGGCCGCATAGTTGTGTGCCGTCGGCATCAAGGGGTTCAACATCACTGCAAAATGATTGGATAATAATAGCAATAGGATAATCCTATGGCTCCAGTCAATGCACTCACCCCCTCAAGTAGACTTCAAACACCTCTGTCTTTGCTCATTTCCCTTACCTTGTGGATTGATGGGACTAGTAGTTTACACAATGAAGAGAAGGATTTTCTGCTCTCCTTTCAGCTCACAGGTAGTTACATTACACAGTAGTGTCTGTACCTGCTGAAAAAGTTTTTAGCCTGAAAAAAAACAAATGCAGCCACCACATCCAAAGACAGGTAAGCTGCAATATGTTCCATTTTACAATACGATATATGACATATTTCATTACATCTTTCCTGTGAGAAAATCAGCCCACAAGGAAAGAAATGAACTATGTTGTGATCCACAGCTGTAGTGGTTGGGTATGTTTTTTAATGGTTAACTTGCTTATTAGGTCGTAAAAACACACTCAGTAGAAGTAAACAACCATTTGACCTGTAGAAGTAAACAACCATTTGACCTGTAGACGTAAACAACCATTTGACCTGCAGAAGTAAACAACCATTTGACCTGTAGAAGTAAACAACCATTTGACCTGTAGAAGTAAACAACCATTTGACCTGTAGAAGTAAACAACCATTTGACCTGTAGACGTAAACAACCATTTGACCTGCAGAAGTAAACAACCATTTGACCTGTAGACGTAAACAACCATTTGACCTGTAGAAGTAAACAACCATTTGACCTGTAGAAGTAAACAACCATTTGACCTGTAGATGTAAACAACCATTTGACCTGTAGAAGTAAACAACCATTTGACCTGTAGACGTAAACAACCATTTGACCTGCAGAAGTAAACAACCATTTGACCTGTAGACGTAAACAACCATTTGACCGGCTTGTGGACACCTAGTATTGCTTATGCAAATAATTTTATGAGCAAAAGCAGTTTGTATGCAGAGACCATATTTGCTGTCGCATAGTTATCAGGAATCAGACTTGTTTGGCTATAAAGGTCACTTTATTGAGGTGAATTAACAAAAGGGGAAGAGACTTGGGAATCCAAGCTTCCCCCCGTGCCGTGAAACATAGTTGGCTGAGATGATCTCTTCCTGAGTGCGTAGGTGTAGCTCTATCATACCACACAGTTCTTGAGGTCCGAAGACTCCTGGTCATCTCCCAACAGCTCAAAGTGGTTTCTGACAAATCCTTACGTTGCACCTGCACTATAGTCACACTTTTCCAGCAAAGTGGTTAATGACCTCCAACCTGGTTCCTTGGAACCTAGAGCTCTTGAATTGTGCAGAGACCTGGCAATAGATAGCACCTAAACAAATTGGACCCTCTGAACCTCTCACAGAGAAAATTTCCATATCTGCCACATGTCCTCCACTAAATCTGGAGGAACAATAGCTCACCTTAACTCCATGATGGGTCATAACCTGCCCAGTCTTTAGGGGGAGCTAAAAACACCCTTCTCCCCCTATGTGTGAACGTTACAACACCCTTATAGGCAACACGAGCCACACCAGACTTCAGGTCATCCATAACACCAAATGACCTGGCCATGGCCTTGAAAGTGTCTCTAGTTGAGTATTCTACCCTCACCGTCCTTCCTCCAGGCACTTGGCCTTGAAGCACCTCTTCTGCACGTGCTTTGGGTGCTTCATAAACTTGTCCCAGAAACCAGGGGTCATATTTTTCTTTTAGAAGATATGAAAGATCCATCTTAGTGAAGGATACTGGGTCCTGATTCAACTTGATGAACCTCAGATGCTGGTCAAAAAACTGGCCTTGGCTAACCCCTTTCCTTCCAAATGTTCGAGTGCGAGGCAACTCTGGTCTCAGGCAAGCCCTCCCGAGTCTCTGCTCTGGGCGCCTTACCCAGTCGTCCCAGAAGGCAGCTGGCCACTTTGGCTCTAGTTCCTCCCAAAGTTCCTGAAGCAGCAGCCAGCCAAGCCCTGGGAAGAAGTCGGAACGATGAAGAATGGTACTGCCTTTGGGCTCCACTAAGTTCTCCTTGCCATTGTCATTCCAGGCAGATACACACCACAAGGTGGGGTCCTTACGGAGGAGAGGATGGGTGGCTGAGAAGTATTCATAGAAGTCTGGAGCTATTTCCAAATCGTCTTCTACTACGATGGCCGACTTGTAACCCAGCACTCTGAAGATCTAAGTGGAGAAGAAAACATCATTAGAGGACGTTAGCAGAAAATATTTATCCAGACAAAGCATGAGAAACCTACAGGATGCCAGTAAATAAGGTACAACACCTGGACACCCAATGCTCACATAATACATGCAGTGTGAACCTTTTAAGCTTCAAGTCCACACAAGGCAAAGCAAAAGGTTCCCTTAACTCACTCCAACCACCCTGTTCTCATTTCTCTTTGTTTTTGTATCGACACGCTTTCAGGTTGGCAGGAGCTACGAGAACAAGCCATTTAGAGGTTTCAAGTCACAATATGGAGCTTAAAGTGTTTTTAAACCCTGGACCCTGCATTCACTATATCTGCTCTCCCCAAACCCTACATTCACTATATCTGGTCTCCCCGAACCCTACATTCACTATATCTGCTCTCCCCGAACCCTGCATTCACTATATCTGCTCTCACCGGACCCTGCATTCACTATATCCGCTCTCCCCGGACCCTGCATGCACGATATCCGACCTCCCCGGACCCTGCATGCACGATATCCGGCCTCCCCGGACCCTTCATTTACGATATCCGCTCTCCCCGGACCCTGCATTCACGATATCCGCTCTCCCCGGACCCTGCATTCACTATATCCGCTCTCCCGGGACCCTGCATTCACTATATCCGCTCTCCCCGGGACCCTGCATTCACTATATCCGATCTCCCCGGACCCTGCATTCACTATATCCGCTCTCCTCGGACCCTGCATGCACGATATCCGACCTCCCCGGACCCTGCATGCACGATATCCGACCTCCCGGGCCCTTCATTCACGATATCCGCTCTCCCCGGACCCTGCATTCACGATATCCGCTCTCCCCGGACCCTGCATTCACGATATCCGCTCTCCCCGGACCCTGCATTCACTATATCCGCTCTCCCGGGACCCTGCATTCACTATATCCGCTCTCCCGGGACCCTGCATTCACTATATCCGATCTCCCGGGACCCTGCATTCACTATATCCGATCTCCCCGAACCCTGCATTCACTATATCCGCTCTCCCCGAACCCTGCATTCACTATATCCGCTCTCCCCGAACCCTGCATTCACTATATCCGCTTCCCCAAACCCTTCATTCACTATATCCGGTCTCCCCGGACCCTGCATTCACTATATCCGATCTCCCCGGACCCTGCTTTCACTATATCCGATCTCCCCGGACCCTGCATTCACTATATCCGCTCTCCTCGGACCCTGCATTCACTATATCCGCTCTCCCGGGACCCTGCATTCACTATATCCGCTCTCCCGGGACCCTGCATTCACTATATCCGCTCTCCCGGGACCCTGCATTCACTATATCCGCTCTCCCGGGACCCTGCATTCACTATATCTGCTCTCCCGGGACCCTGCATTCAATATATCCGCTCTCCCCGGTCCCTGCACTCACTATATCCGCTCTCCCCGGTCCCTGCACTCACTATATCCGCTCTCCCCGGACCCTGCATTCACTATACAGTCATGGCCGAAATTGTTGGCACCCTTGATATTTCTCCAGGAAATCATGTATTTCTCACGAAACGTATTGCATTAACACATGTTTTGCTATACACATGTTTATTCCCTTTGTGTGTATTGGGACAAAACAAAAAAAGGGAGGAAAGAAAGCAAATTCGACATAATGTCACACAAACCTCCAAAAATGGGCTGGACAAAAGTATTGGCACCCTTTCACAACTGCGGATAAATAAGAATGTTACAAGCATGTGATGCTCCTGTAAACTCACCTGGGGCAAGTAACAGGTGTGGGCAATATAGAAATCACACCTGAAAGCAGATAAAAAGGAGAGACGTTCACTTAACCTTTGCATTGTGTGTCTGTCTGTGCCACACTAAGCATGGACAACAGAAAGAGGAGACGAGAACTGTCTGAGGACCTGAGAACCAAAATTGTGGGCAAAATATCAACAATCTCAAGGTTACAAGTCCATCTCCAGAGAACTAGATTTGCCTTTGTCCACAGTGCGCAACATTATCAAGAAGTTTGCAACCCATGGCACTGTAGCTAATCTCCCTGGTCGTGGACGGATGAGGAAAATTGATGAAAGATTGCAACGCAGAATAGTCCGGATGGTGGATAATCAGCAGCCCAAACATGTTCCAAAGACATTCAAGCTGTCCTGCAGGCTCAGGGAGCATCAGTGTCAGCGCGAACTATCCGTCGACATTTAAATGAAATGAAACGCTATGGCAGGAGACCCAGGAGGACCCCACTGCTGACACAGAGACATAAAAAAGCAAGACTACAGTTTGCCAAAATGTACTTGAGTAAGCCAAAAGCCTTCTGGGAAAACGTCTTGTGGACAGATGAGACCAAGATAGAGCTTTTCGGTAAAGCACATCATTCTACTGTTTACCGAAAACGGAATGAGGCCTACAAAGAACAAAACACAGTACCTACGGTAAAATATGGTGGAGGTTCAATGATGTTTTGGGGTTGTTTTGCTGCCTCTGGCACTGGGTGCCTTGACTGTGTGCAAGGCATCATGAAATCTGAGGATTACCAAAGGATTTTGGGTCGCACTGTAGGGCCCAGTGTCAGAAAGCTGGGTTTGCGTCCAAGATCCTGGGTCTTCCAGCAGGACAATGACCCCAAACATACGTCAAAAAGCACTCAGAAATGGATGGCAAAGAAGCGCTGGAGAGTTCTGAAGTGGCCAGCAATGAGCCCAGATCTAAATCCCATTGAACACCTGTGGAGAGATCTTAAAATTGCTGTTGGGAAAAGGTGTCCTTCCAATAAGAGAGACCTGGAGCTGTTTGCAAAGGAAGAGTGGTCCAAAATTCCGGGGTGAGAGGTGTCAGAAGCTTATTGATGGTTATAGGAAGCGACTGATTTCAGTTATGTTTTCCAAAGGGGTGTGCAACCAAATATTAAGTTAAGGGTGCCAATACTTTTGTCCAGCCAATTTTTGGGGGTTTTGTGTGACATTATGTCATATTTGCTTTTCTGCCTCTGTTTTTATATTTGTTCCAATACATACAAAGGGAATAAACATGTGTATAGCAAAACATGTGTTAATGCAATACCTTTTTTGTGTGAAATACTTGATTTTCAGGAAAAATATCAAGGTGCCAAACAATTTCGGCCATGACTGTATGTGCTCTCCCGGACCCTGCATTCACTATATGCGCTCTCCCCGGACCCTGCATTCACTATATGCGCTCTCCCCGGACCCTGCATTCACTATATGTGCTCTCCACAGTACACAGAACATGGAAATGCAATTATTTTAGTAAATATAAACTGCTAAAAACCTTTTCTCATCAGCAGTATAAAGCAGTCTTTTGACTTTTATCAGTTTCCAGCTGAGCACTGGTTACAGCTTGTAGGAGTAGTTTTCATTCTCCTTTGACTGTCCTATGAGGCTGTATGACTCCTGACCCTCTGTCTGAACAGTGCTGATTGGCCCTGTGCAGATCATATGCACCCTCCCAGAAAACATTAAAAAAAAACCTCTCTAGCAAAATACATTAAACTGAGCATGTGCAACCTAGAGCTCTGTACTATCAACAGATGGATTGGGGACAGTAGCAGAAAGGGAGGATCAGAGAAGACAGGATCAAACAGCTTTTTTCTTTTTTTACACAATGTGGAGGATTAACCCCTTAGGTTCCACAGTGAGTATAACAAGCATGCTTTACTGCATCTACAGACTGATTTTACTGTTGTGGGTTTAGTAACACTTTAACTGCTTGCCTGCTGGGCCAATTCTGACATTTCTCACATACATGTAAAAATCTGCATTTTGTTTTTGTTTTGCAAGAAAATTACTTAGAACTTCCAAACATTATATACATTTTTTCAAATAGAGGGCCTAAAGAATAAAATGATGGGTGCTGAAAATGTTTATGTCACATGGTATTTGTGCAGTGTTTTTTTGAAATGCACATTCATTTTAGTGCCCGAACACAAAAACCATATAAAACACAATTTTGGTAAAATATAAAAGATTATGTTACGCCGAGTAAATAGATACCCAACATGCCACATTTTAAAATTGGATACGCCTGTGGAACGGTGCCAAACTACTTTAAAAACCTTTACAGGTTACCTGATTAGAGTCACACAGGAGGTCTGCTGCTAGAAAATATTGCTCCTGCTCTGACGTTCACCACAATACCGCATGTGCATTGCAAACACCGTTTACACATGTGTGCGGAACTTACATATACGTTTGAATTTTTGGGTGAGCATGGGGGGGGACAGGAGCAGTTTATTTATTAAATCTTTTTTTTACATTTTACCTTTCATTTTTTTTTATTAACTTTATTGCTAGCACAAGGGATAAACAACATCCATTGTGATAGCATGGGCCGTGACAAGTCCTCTGCTAAATCCTAGATCTCTCCTCTGGCCTCCAAAGCACCCAATCAAACTCAGACTGGTGTAATCCGATGCTTGTAACGGATGGTAAACAGAAGACCGAAACCAGAAGTGATGTAATCCCCATCGTTTCTGTTTCTGATCCTGCAGAGAGGGCAGAACGACAACAGTGCTGCTGATGCCACCGGCTGGAGCAGTCCTGAGATGGGAGAGCTCAGGAAAGATGGTGGGAGGAGGGGGCACCCCCTTCCCCTGCCTGTAGAAGTGATCAAGTGGCTGTAAAGCCACTGGAATCACTTCTACAAGAAAGGCATTCACCAGCTGCATTTGGATACCAGAATCATGCCTGCAGCTGCAGGCAACATCCCGATACAACCAATTAAATCTAGCGATGTCATATGGGAGTTTATTTACTAAAGCTGGAGAGTGCAAAATCAGACTCACTTCTGCATAGAAACCAATCAGCTTCCAGGTTTCATTGCCAAAGCTTCATTGAACAAGCTGAGGTTAGAAGCTGATTGGTTTCTATGCAGAAGGGAGTCTAATTTTGGACTCTCCAGCTTTAGTAAATAAACCCCATGATGTCCACCTAGAGAGAAGTGGTTAAACAGGGCTGAGGATTCTCCACCTAATCGTACATAACA